CACATCCTGGCGGTCCTCAGTCCTCCGCCTGCTCGCGCAGAGGCTTTTGCTTCCTTCATTCCTCTGCAGTTACCCCAGGGCGAAGACCATGCCTCTCCCCACCATGCCCCAATGTGTGACACTATGTATATTAACAATGCATTGTCAACAGTGATTAGTCAACTAAGAAAGACTTGACTCTACAAGTCCACTAAGAACAGCGAACTGGGAATGATGGTCTGAGAAGTTGGCTGGAGGAAGGAGGCAGCAAGGACCAAAGCAGTGACCAAAGTGTCTGGATTCATCCACAGTGAGTGCCTGCTACGTACCTCAAGAAAGAAGTTACGTTTTGTAATGACTTCTTTGTTGCTGACAGTTCAACTTTGACCAAGTGTCCAAGGAGACAGGTGGTCACTGATGGGGGAAGTGAGCTTCCCGGTCCAAACAGGGGCGCGCGCGCTCCACAGCACATCTTCTCTCCTCCTCCCACTAAGAAAGGAAGCAGCAGCTCCCGGTTCTACTCCTACCACACGCAGGCGAGGCTGCCTAGATTGTGAACGGATATGGGTACCCCTGGTTTCTAGGGAACAGACAGCACATACGGCCTGGCTCAAGGAAACCGTCTCCTTAAAGAAGCCTGAAAGGGAGAAAAGGTGCTAGTTAAAGGGCCTCCAAGAATTTCCATCTCGCAGATGACACCACTTGGCAAGACCGGGAGCAAGCAGCAGTGATGTCTGGCACCTGGGACAGCTCAGGCCTTCCAGGCTACTCCTTGCTGGCTCTCCCAGGTCCAGGTAGTTCTCGGGGCTGTGAAGCGGGGTCTGACTGCCATCAGCTAAGGAGACCCTCCCCTAGACCACTCCAAGAAGCCTGTGCGTGAAGACACAATGCTGCTCCCCTGCACCCCGACCAGCCTCAAAGCAAATCATCTTTTAATTCCTAAACACCAAGTATTTAATTTATGCTGTACCTCAAATGTCAAGTCCACCTCCCAACACATAGCTTTGAAACCACGTAAGGAGGCCTAACACTTTCCATATGGTGAAGACATGGGGCCTTTTAATTGTGCCAACTGGTATCATTCAAGGGTAATTCCCCTGGAATCCAGAATTCAGGCAGCAGCTGGATCGGCCCCCAATCTCATCACCCAGCCCCACCCGGGCCCCATGCAGCATGCCTGCACCCTCCTAATCTTCCCTAAATATCAAAATGTGCTAGGTGCCCCCTAATCAAATTACCCAAGTGCCTGGCAGCCGCCTTTGATCTACAGGGGGGCTGGCTGTCCCCCAAGCCCCCAACCTATTTCTGCAAGCAGTTTTGCTGTAAAAGAGCAAAAGGATCATAGTGCACGGAGTAAAGGTTGTTTTGAATCTGGTTACACACATCCACACATGCATGTGTGCCCACGCTCACAGTATGGACAGAGGTACCTAGGGAGCTTCATTATCCAGCCACTGCCCACCTTGGATTTCCACTGGGTAGTCTCTTACTGCCTGCTGCTTGGTTTCTACCGTCTCTTGGAGGTGAATGTGCTTTAGCCTCTAATTCTGCTCAGTGCCTATGTCTCAGGCATGCACTGGCTCCGTCTACTGTCCTTCGCTCACAGTGCCTTTATGTTTCCTGTCATTCACCACCTCTCTCCTTTGAGTTTATAGTCCCTTGTACCTCATCCAACATCCCCAGAGAGGCAAAAGCCCAGACCTTAACCTGGGTCTCACCAGGTGAGCTGACAGTGCAAGGGTGTAGGGGGAAGAGCACGAACACCAGGGCCCCTCCATAAATGTCACCCTCTCAGCCCGGGCTCTACTCTTTTCCGAGATTTATCTACCTTAACTCTGACATGGAGGAGAACATGACTGGGCCCATTTTACAGATGTGCTTAACAAGATACATAGAGTTAAAGTGACTTGCACAAGGTGACGAGCTATGGTGCAGAGTCTGACCTCAGTCACTTCGATATGTTGGGGGGTAGGCTGAGTTGAGCACTTGCGTGGCTACTCTCACACCCTAGGGCTATGTATGCAACCTGGATCCTGCCCCAGATATGAGGCAGGTAGGGCTCCTCTTGCTTCTTCCTCCCCTGCAACTGGTTCATGTGTACATGGTGGCAACTGTCTGTGCCCCTCGCTGGGAATCAGGCAATGCTGGGCTTCACACACACACTGACTCTGGAAAGGGAGACAACTTAGTCTACCCCAGCTGGCTGCAACTCCAGAGGGTTATGGGGAGATTAAGGTAATAGAAGCAATGTGCTTGGCACATACAGGCGCTCAGGCAACAGTAGACTTCACAGCAATAATAAGGTTGTCAGTTGGATAAGTCACTAATGTGTCCCCAGCCACTTTGGTGGCAGGACAAGTAGAGAAGCAGACACAGAGGCCTTCACCAAGATAGGTCTGGTACTGGCTATAGGAAGCTGCCAGCCCTGGAAGCTAGCAGACTGCTGGAGTCCACACCCATCGACATCCTGATGATATCATGGAAGGACCTGCCAGCCACCCTTCCCATGCCAGTGGGACTCAGGGAAGCGACAGAACTGAACTGGACTCACCACTGGCCAGCCCAGCACCCTCGCTGTCCCTGCCAGTTCAGCACTCGCTCTTACCTTCCCAACCACGACCACTTGAACCCGGCATGTTTCCCTGTATTGGCTTTGAACTCACCTCCCTCTTTCAACTCTGATTCATCTTAAGTGATAACATCCATGAAATCATGTGTTTGATGTCCTAGTTATTTTTTCCCTGATTAAAAAAGATAGATACCTATAAAGATTAAAGACATTCCCCCTAAAGACGACCTGAATTGCTTCGCGGCCCACCACCAGTGCGACCCCACACTTTGGCTCAGCCTGCTCCTTTTCCAGGGTTGATGCATGGCCCTACTACTGTGACCACTCCAGGTTGGAACCCAGGCATCCAGATCTGTTATTAAGATCCACTCTCAAGGAAGCAGAGACCCCCCCCACACACACACACACTCAACATCTTTGATGGCTGGGCCCACCCTCTTAACTATCCAACACATGTCACACTGATGGCTCTATGCCTCACATCTTCAAAAGGACTTTGAACAAATATTAATGACCCCTCCTTCTCAGAGAGGGGGGTGAGCCAGGAAGGCAAGCAAGCACCATCCATCCCATGCTGTCCTCAGCTGGGGGAAGAAACCAGGCAACGAAATTCCGTGACTTCAGCAAAGCCACAGGCTTAAGCAGGGGCCCCCCCTCCCCCTTCTTCATTTCCCCCAATGGCAACTTTTACTGGCTTGCATTCCTCTTGCTGGGAACACTACTATTTAATTAAAAACGACAGACTTTTGTTTTCCTCTCCTTCTTCCCCCTCCCTCCCATCCTCCCAGCCTGGATGCCAAGGAGACCCACCAAAAACATGCGGGTAACATTTGTTATGGCTTTGAAGATAAAAGTCAGTTGAAGCAAGCCCTCGCTGTATTTCAAGTTTCCCCTCTAGCATGGAGTAAAAGCTGCCTGGCAGTTTAGGAAAAAAAGAGAGAGGAGAGAGAGAAAGAGGAGAGCGGCAGAGCCTAAATAAATGTCATTCTGCAAGAATACTTTATGAAAATAAACAGGCTGGAAAAAAAAACCTGATTAATGGAAATCCTCTCTGTTGGCCTGTATTGAGCTGCAAATGCATCTGCTCATATGTCTAAATTGGATTGTTTTCATTGGTCCTTAGATAAATAAGTACATCAAAAACTAGGAATGGTGGGGGAAGGAGAAGTTTGTGGTTCTGTTAAAAGGCTCTAAATGCAGTGCCTCCACCCCCTGGGCCCAGTTCTGACCTTTCTACTACAGTAGCATCCCCAAGTCTCAGTCAGCCAGCAAACTGGAGGGCCAGGGAAAAGAAAGCCTGAGCTACACAGTAGAGAGGGAGCTTATCCCAGAGACAGAGGACATTTAACACACCACATACACATGCACGAACACACACACACACACACACACACACACACACACACGGTGGCAAGCATGCCACCTCCCTGCAGTGGTGCTGCCAGGTGCCACCACCCAACCACACACACACGCCATCTCTCTGCAATGATGCTGCCAGATGCCACCACCCAAACACACACACACACACACACACACACACACACCACACACACCACACACACCATACACACACAAAGACTCCACCAGCCTCACCCAAAGAATAAGACCAAAGAACTAACCAGACCTGAGGCTCGATCTGTTCCCTCTCCAAGTTTTAAAAAAAAAAAATTAAATGTCACATCAAAAAGTTGATTCATCCTTTGATCCTTGGCTTGCAAGAGTTCCACGCAGACCATCTGAGAGCCCTGTGCAGAGTTCTGGAGCTCACAGGACATCTGTGAACACCAGTCCCAGGCCAGACACAGGGGCTGGACTCACTCACTCCCCATCCCACTTGCTCCTGCAGAACAACTCTAGCCTCAAGAAGCCCCTGGGTGTAGAAAGAGGGTGTACCCAGACCACTATACAAAACCCCCCCACCCTACGCCTCTCCCACCTCTAAGGGCCACACTGAGGGGACAGCCAGGTCTCAGTGCCTCCAAACTCTACGCTCGGATGGCAGATGGCACTGATGAATGCCACAGACACAGTTGGAGGTGGCCACAGATCCTGGGCCAGCACAGCTCTGCCTTCTACCCAGACACTCCTGCCTGCCTCTAGTCCTAACCCCTCCCTGTGGAAAAGCTGGCCATAAAAGCAAAGCAGAGGAGGCCTCCCCCCACGCACACACACAACAAAGCACAGCTTCCCCACCCACTGGACCTGTATCACCTCCTCCCTGGCACTTCCTCCCCAAGCAACTCTCTGTGCCCAACTGGGCGGGAGATGGGTGCCAGACTGATCGACAAGGATCCTCCAAAGTATGGAGCACAAGTAGGGCTGGTGGGACACGCTGAGAAGGGATTTGGGAACCTAGACAATGTGCCAACAGGATGCTGAAAGTGGGGAGGAGGGGAGGCGGTTCGCAGACCCTCTCCAAAACTGAAAGGGTGGAACAGAGTGGGGGCCATACCCGAGTGCCTCGACCAACAGTGCCTGCCAATCTCAGCTGTCGGGGTCCTGAGACGCTGCCTGGACAGCGCTGCCTCCCGATCCACTCCTCGATGCCTTTCCTTGCCCAAGCAGCGCTCACAGCAAAGCTGTCACCTGAGGCGGGAAGAACACGAAGACCTTGAGTCCGGGCCCCCCCGCAGCTGACAAAAAGTTACCTGAGAATGAAGGGAAGGAGACAGAGAGGCACAACCCGGAGAGTAAAGGCTTGGCAGGAGGGTCAAGCGCCGGACGGAGCAGAATCTAAAAGAGGAAGGTAGCCAAGAAAGGGGGCTCGGCGAGATCCTAAGTGCAAGGATTCAGAGGGTGAAAAGGAGTTCGCAGTATCCTGAGTGAAGGAGTTAGGGGATCAGAGGAAGGAGCGCGGGAGTCAGGACTGTGGAGAAAAGAGTTGAGGGTCAGGAGAGGGGGTGCAGTGGGCGCAGAGGCCAAGTTCTCCAGAGAAGGGGCTGGCGGCCAGAAGAAAGGTGCAAGATCTTGGGGGGCTGAAGAGAAGACGCCGCCAAAGTGGATGGGGTTAGGGTCAGCAGTGGGAGC